CCGATTGACCTACAAGCATGTTGACCAAACACTGACACATCCACAGTTCGTCGAGCTGAACCAAATGCCTACTCTCGTCAATCTCGCCACGACAGACTCAGACCCCGCAACCCGCAAAAAGGCCGTTTACGCTATCTCCTCTGCGGTCCGTAACCACCAGCCTGCCTTGGATGCTCTGCACAAGAGCCTTCCAGAAGGCTATCCCACCGATAAGCGCGATGCCGCCGATATGGAAGGCATTGATACGATCATCGATCAGCTGCGGTCTCACCCGACCGAAGCCTCCGCATGAATGGAGCGAGTTGTGACTGCACTATAAGAGTGAATACACAAAAACACAGAGCAGCAGGATACCCACTGAATGCGAGTCCGTTATTGGAACTGGCCTTTTGTCGTGCCAAGGCTGGGGCTCGCAATGCAACAGGCAACATATTAGGTTGCTACTGCAACTGCGTTGAATGCTATGATGATGACGACGCTAGGCTTCACTGCGGTAGATGCCGGCGATTATTTGATTTGCGGATACCCGAAATGGTTTTGCAATGGTTTCTTGTTGCCTAAGGGCTGCATCCACATGATGCAACAACCTGATTTTTTGTGGTTTAAGCATATATTGGAATTGTACATACCCCGGGCTTTCGTCCTATATTAAATGCAATCACGAGTTCCGACGATCAAGAATGCCAAATCCCGATGTTTGAATCTGTACCTATGCTGCCTAAATTGTACTGTTTTGTTGTAACAGTATACCCTAAAAAACCAAATTCACACTATATTGTAGCTCATTAATGAGAGATCCCAAAAAAAGCAGAAACGAATTCATACTCCGTACAAATTAGAGCTCACGTTGCCTTGATTGATGATATCCATAGATATCTCGGAACAACATTTCTCCACCAGACATCGTCATTGGACTTCAGCTCTCACCAGCAACATCTCCAACCAAGACCCCCATCCCCCACAATCCCAAAATGGACAGCTCAAGCAACCGACTCTTCCGCTTCTCCAAGCCAGAGTGGCTGAACAACTCCGCCGTCCGCAATGGCGGCGTCTACGTGGCAGGCGCGCTGGTAAGCATCCGATCCACCTCCGGCCTCACTTGCTCGTCGCAGACACCCCAAGCCCAAAGCCCAAAGCCCTCAACTCCAAATCAAAACAAAACAGAATTGGACATAACATCTACCTCAAACCAAAAACCAAAAACCAAAAACCCGAAGAACTAGAAGCTAACAAAACCACAGTTCGCAGCAGGCTTCTTCTTCCTAATCGACGTCGCGGCATTCTCGCGCAGCCCGCGCAACGGCTCAGACGTGCATATCAAATTCGTCGACTGGATCCCTGGTATCTGCTCCGTGCTGGGAATGCTGGTTATCAACTCGATTGAGAAGAGCCGGCTGCAGGCTGATAGCTTTAGTTACAGTGGGAGTGGGGTTGCGTGGAAGGCGAGATTTGTGCTGTTTTTGGGATTCGCGTTGCTTGCTGGGGGATTGGCTGGGAGTGTGGTATGTATATGTCTTTTTCCCCCCCTCCTACTATACTACGCTTTACTGACTCGCTTGTTCGTAGACGGTTATGGTCCTCAAGTACCTCATCAAGGATTATCCGATCCAGACGCTCTACTTTGGAATCGCGAATATTGTGGCTAATGGCCTTGTTATGCTCAGGTATGTGTTTTGTCTGATTTGTTATTCGAGTTGTGCTTGCGTGCTAACAATGCTATTCCCGATTTAGCTCTATCGTCCTCTGGGTCTCGCAGAACATTGAAGATGACTACACCTACAATCTGGCACTGTGAGGCGGACTGTTTCTATCTATACTGGTCTTTGTGTATTCTACTCGATTTTTGCTCTGATGACTTTTTGCCGGGATGCGTTATGCTTTCACGTCTTTGGCTGGGATTGGCGCTTTAGCATGAAATCATTTGCATTCCTCTTATGTTTTGCGTGTTCTCAAGTTAGGAGTATTTATCATGACAGCCTCTGAAATATCTAGAATCCCACGGTATTCTATAGGTGAACAGTAAAGTAAACATTATCGAAAGAAAAGTATCATTTCAGCTATGCATGAAGAAACCAAGGCCCTAAAAGAAGCCCCCTTGAACACCAGATATGCATTCATAAAATCGTAAAAATCACCATTACCGGTCGACCCTCAATGCTCCTCGCAGAACAACCTCAGTAACTCATCAATGCAAGTCATAGCCTTCTCCTTCTTCAAGACCGAAGGCGCCACCCCCGGTGCCTGCTTCAAATACCTGCGGAGCGCAAAAGCAGCAGCTTTGTACGTCGCATGGTACATAATCTTGAACTCATCATCATCCGAAGTGCTCCCCGGTGCCGGCGTTTCAGCCCGCAAAGCCTCCGGCGCCGGTGTCGTGCCCGAGACATCAAGTTCAGGCTCCGCACCCGCACCACCTGGCGGCTTACCCGACGCAGAGCGCATATTCGCACGGTGGAATCCATACAGCCGCATACAAGTCAAGACCGTGCGCGTGATGAGAGTCTTATTATCCGCAATCACAGCATCCGGATCCTTAGCCGGCGAGCCTGGCGTAGACGCCGGTTTCTCCTCGGAGACCGAAAGAGATGACGGGCCCTGGCCCTGCGACATCTGTGCTCCACGTCGCGGGCCAGAATCCAAGAACGGATTCGGAGTAGGCGCGCGCTTTTGCGGATCGGCATTCAGGGCTGGCGTTGTGCGGCCGCGTACGCTACCTGGGCGATGTAGACCTGCTCCGATAGAGACGGATCTGGACCGGTGGGAGACGATCCGGTCGAGGGACGGGAGGGTGGGTCCGTCTTCTTCGGGCTCGCGCTTGATGCGGAGTGTTTGTAGGTTCTGGGATGAGGAGAGAGGTCGTGAAGGTGCCATTAGTTGTGAGACGGCTTCGCCGCCTCGCTGGCGGACGCGGCGGTGGTGCTGTGCGACTACTTCGAAGAGCGTTGCTACTCTTTTGCGTTTGGGGCTGGGAGAGCTTATGTCTGGTAGGAACTCTGCGCAGCGCGGGTTGGCGATGGGTTGGTCTGGGTTGGAGGGTGGTGGGGATGGGTAGGCTTGGGCTTGCGTGAGTCGTGATGTTGATAGTGGCACGGCGTAGATTCTGAGTTCATATGGAGCACGATGTGGTCTATTGCTGTGATCTGGGATCTCGGAGGGGGATGAATGTGGCGGGGTAGGTGGGCGTGTGCATGATGCTGCGCTGGATAGAACGCCGTAGACTAATAGGCTTGTTGTGGTTGCGTTGCCTGATTTGGTGTTGCCTTCGACGCTGACCAGCAGACCCACTGGGCATTGGAATGATTGTTGGAGTGCTGGATCTTCTTCGTTCAGCCATAGGGCACCTGTTAGCTTCCTCTGGAGCCATTTTGATGTCCCCGCGTGGGATGTGTGTAGTTCGAGGTTGGGACCGGCGCGTGCATGCAGTGGGATGAGTGCTGGGTTCACGAAGCTACGGAGATTGAGCTGGGACTCCTTGGATAGCTCGGACTGCGAGTAGGAATTTGGATCGACCAGTCGAATCCCTGGTCAAGTGGTTAGCGAGGAACAGGATGCGATACGCGTATGGCTTACCTTCTAACTTGGAGTCCGAGCCGAGAGGAATGGATCCTGTCCAGACATTCATCTTGTTAACTGGATCCCGAAAAGGCCTTTCATGGGTTCAGCATAGTGACATCAATCTGGTATAGTTGTGTCGTTTCTAAATTGATCTGCTGTTATCTCCGAATCTCTGCAGACGCGCCGAGTCCGCGCGCGGTCACGTGTACAATTAATCATATCGAATATATCAAGTAGTTTAAAAAGAAGCAGGTGGACATAGTTTAAAACTAAGTAGATTTGGATTCCTCATTTTAATTCTCTATATCCATTGCGTTATAGTACACCTAGAGTAGCACAGCCAGGTGCTGGGGCCATTGCCATTTAAAGTGAGGCACACCCCACACCAAATCACTCATACATAGCATATCAAGCATATCAAGCATACGCTGAAATCAAAGAAACAGCAGAAAATCAGATGTCATCGTGAAGGCTGGATACCGTGAGGGCCACTGGGATACAGTAGAAGTATAGCCCTTGACCCCGCGCCTCATCCATTCTGGACGATCAGAACTCCTCCTGTTCCTGGAAGAACATCGAGAAGCTAATAATGGTGCCATAGATCAACAAGCCTCCGAAAATCGACATGATCATTGCTGGGATCTCGATTGCGCCGCTGTGGGCGAGGACGACAGGAAGTGCTAGACAGGTCAGTTGATAATCATCAATGGCACAATGATGAGGCATTAGAATGGACATAGTGCGGCCTGAACATCAAGAGCCGACCGGTCGAGTGATGATATGTCCCACAAGAGGGGTTGTTGTTAACCAACGACGTACCGATACCAGTAAGAACCAAGAATCCGGTCATGAACCGTCCAAAGTCCATCGCAGAGTTGCTCGAACTGTCCATAAAATCATCTGGGTTTGCGCATCGTTGGCAGATCCAGTTGGGAAGCGGCGCAACAACGTAGATGCCGACCACCAGCAGCGGCCAGTACCTGTGCCATAGCGCGGAAGAGAGGATAACGAGGAGGAAACCAATTGCGAGAACCTGGTCAAAAGTTAGAGAATATTCAGACGCTAGGCGAACAGCGAAACGAAGCATACAAAGGACAGGGCGATGATGGTCTTGAGTCCAGCGGCCATGATTGCGGAGACGCCGAAAGCCGATCGATGAGATTAAAGATGGGAGACGTAGGAGCCGTTGAATTAGGTGGATCCAGGAGACGATATTAAGAGCAGGTCAACAATGACAGCCCCATTGGCTGAGTGCGGGAAATCAAAGAAGGACAGTCGTGCGACAAGCTGGAGATGAGCTCGAGAATGAGTGACGTTGGCGCCTGAAGGTCACTGGATGTTAGCGCCTCAGGCACCAACAGCTCATGCTTCACACCGCGTCACTTTACTGCCTGCTCCAGCTCCCCCATCCTCCTCCATCACCGGATTATCCCTCGGATTCTTACGTCGCTGTTCCTGAATCTCTATTTATCAACAATAATCCACTTTCTCTGTTTGCTTTGATATCCATTCAACCCTTCCCGCCACGATGTTCAGAAACAATTACGACAACGATGCCGTCACCTTGTAAGACCAGGTGCTCCCTCGGATTCATCAGATGCTGACTCAAAGGATCCTAGCTCTCCACAGGGTCGGATATTTCAAGTGGAATATGCACAGGAAGCAGTGAAGCAAGGATCCGTCGTCGTGGGGTTGGTGAATAAGACACATGCCGTGCTGGTTGGACTCAAGGTTCGCAGACCTACAGCAGAGAACGAACAGACCAAACCGTCAAAACTAACATTTGGCATCTAGCGCAACGCAGAAGAGCTCTCCTCGTACCAGAAGAAGATCATTGAGATCGACTCGCACATGGCGATCGCCATCGCCGGCCTCGCATCAGACGCTCGCGTCCTCTCAAACTTCATGAAGCAGCAGTCCCTGGGCTCGAAGATGACCTACGGTCGGCCCATTCCTCTGGACCGAATCGTCGCTCAGATTGGCGACCGCGCGCAGACTAACACCCAGCACTACGGGAAACGTCCGTATGGTGTGGGTCTGTTGGTGGCCGGTGTTGACGAGGCCGGCCCGCACCTGTTCGAGTTCCAGCCCTCTGGGTTGACACACGAGATGCTTGCTTGTGCCATCGGTGCCCGTTCGCAGATGGCACGTACGTATTTGGAGCGAAATCTCGACAAGTTCGAGGACTGCAGTCGTGACGAGCTGATCCAGCATGGGTTGAGCGCGCTAAAGGAGACACTGTCTCAGGATAAGGAGCTTACAGTGGACAATACTTCTGTTGGTGTTGTCGGTGTGACTAATGGCAAGAAGGAGAGCTTCAAGCTGTACGAGGGTCAGGACACGGCTGTGCTACTGGAGGTGCTGGAGCAGCGTGAGTCCGCTGGTGCGGAGGGCGAGTCCATGGAGGTTGATTCATAAATGTCTGGTTTGATTTAATGATTCGCATAGACACGAAATCCTGATAATGCTTTGTCTTGTGTTTGCGTCCAATGATCTCAGTTATCCAATCATCAATTCATAAGGCTCTTCTCAACGAAGTAATTTATTTGTATGCCTGAAGTCTTTCACTGCCGAAACCCGAACAAATGCGAAACAAACCCCAAACAAACAAAACGACATCTATATACTGGTACCCCATTGCTTGATGATCAAACAGAGCAGCTTCATTCCTCTCCCCAGTTCAACTGCATCCGCCCTGTGCTGACCCGATAAGCCAGCAACTTCGGCCAGACCTCAGAGACCTCCTTGGCCTCCGCAAGGATGTCTCCATTACTAGCACTGATATACCCCTCTTGGACGGCATTGCGCACCCAAGCCAACAAGCCATCCCAGTAGCCATTGATATTCAACAACACAACCGCAACCTTATGAATGCCCAGTTGATTCCACGTCGTCATCTCCATAACCTCCTCAATAGTGCCAAACCCACCAGCCAGCGAAACGAACCCAGACCCAGGCCCGCCCTCAAGGACCTTCGTGGCCATCAAACGCTTGCGCGTATGCATATCAGCGACAATGGTCGTAATGCCGTACTCGGACTCGGGGATTCCACCAGTATGAACAGCATCAGAGTCGACCACCCGCTCGGCAGCTTTGCCGGCTTGCTTGGCAGTGGCCTGGGTTTCCATGTGCTGGCGCATGCCGCCGACTGTTGCGACTTCGACTAGTGCACGTGGGATGATGCCGTGCACGGATTTCGGGCCCGAGAGCGAGACTAGCGTGCGCGCAACTTCGCCCATTAGGCCTGTTGTGCCGCCGCCGTAGACTAGTTGCACGTTGTTCTTGTGGAATTCTTCGGCGAGCGCTCGCGCTGCTTCCATGTGTACTGGGCTGTTGCCTGGTACGGAGCCGCAGCTGGGGACCCGAGGGGGGTTTGTTAGTGTATAGTTCAAGAAATGAGGTACACACGCCAGACTGGTAGACGATACGGTGTGGTTGTGGCATTGAAAGTGGTGGTGAGGGGCATGACTCACAATACACAGACGACAGCGGGTTTGGTCTCCGAGTCCGCCATGTTGGTATGGTAATTAGGGGCTGAGTGTATGAACAATGAAGAGGTCTTGGAAGGGCGTTAATTAGAGAAGGAAGAGAACAGCAAGAGGCAAGAGGCAACCTGGGACCAAACAGGTAATCCCCCACTCCGATAAGAGATAACGTAGTACATACAACATAGTATAACGTCAGGGCTCCGACTTTGTTCTTCAAAGGACCTTTTGATGTAAGATTTCCAAATAAATGCCTCTATCTATGTTATATATTGCAGCTCGATTTTGTGTTGTGTGTTTGCGAGAGTCCAGCCACTAGTTAGTACAACTTGAATTAACTGACTAGGGCTTGTGTACGGCTAAACAACACAACAGCTGGGCTTTTTATATCAACACTAAACATTCAGTATTATACTTATAACAATTTTTTGGCTATCTAGGTAGTAGGGACATAACGCTGTGATCGGAATAAGCTATATAGTCACAGATTTATACTTCTTGGTACCTCAAAAGCCAACTTTATTTAGGTACACTCGATAGCTTCAATATTATGTCCTCTTCTAGTTATTGCTATTAGTCAACTTCATAGTACTATAACTAGGTCAAAAGAAGCCGAATTAATACTCTTTGTTTATTCTCTAAATGCTTTTTGAGTCCATGCAGCAACTTGAGAGTTTGTTCCACCGATGGAGTATAAATTCACCTAAAAGGAGATTGTTAAGATCACAAGAGAAAACTGATTCCATTGTTTTCCTTTGCCATGGCTTGAATAAAGGTTGTTCAGTCCTAGAGACCTGTTAAATTGTCATTTTTGTTTCATATGTTGAGTATCATACATGGAAGCCTATAGAACAATTTGCCCTTATAGACAACTTGATTGTTGCCTGGGTCTATATATAACCAGTCACTTGCCCTTGCAATACAGGATGCTCCTCTTCTTTTATTGATTGTCTTACAGTATACTGGCTATTTATATGTTTATGCTTATATATATGTCTGTGTTGACACACGATTTCATCAATTCTGTCAACTCTCTCCATCATCCAGGGAAAGCCTCAGTTATATGAGGTACCTGGAACAAGTTTTCCTAGTGGGAATATCGGAGTTTCCACCGTTTCTCTCATTCAAGATAAAGGGGCGACATGGTGATACAAAGTTTGACGGACCGATACTGAGTCCCTCACCTGGTTTCACCTTTCACCACGACGGCAAATGCTGTGGCTCCTTCTGTCTGTCATACTTTAGGAGCTGTCTATTTCCACACTGCGCTGATTGTGAGCCAATGATTCGGACATGGAATTCGTAGGAAGAAAGAAGCTATCTTCCTTGCTTCCTCATGCTCAATCATCAGCACTGACTTCAAGATGGTGTACTCGTGGAAGGCATTTATCTTTGCCATCTTCACACTGCTGCCGTGGGATATGTTGATGTCGTCGGACGGCCCTTCGTGCTTCTGGTGCTCGCGTGGCGCTTGTGCGTGCCGTCGAGCAGGATGTGAAGTGTCTTTCCCGTTCTGTCAACCAGGCGAAAAAGGCTGCCGCACTTGCGCTGGAGCAGTCTGCGACTTCTGAGGCGGAAAAAACCGCAGCACCCGCATTGAAAGAGCCTGTGACTTCCGAGGAGGAGGACTTTTTTGATGCTCCCACGCATGCCGAAGTTTCTTCCACTCCTGTCTCAGACTTACAGAAATGCAGCTATGCTTCACAGACGCGCAGTATACGCACTTCTTGGTTATATCAAATCGGGCTTTATCACAATGCAGTGCCCACAAGGACAGTGATAAACAGAGCGGACTCATTATTCAAGGCCTTGGTACACCGAGTATCAATTTCGACACTCCATTTTCTATCTTTGGATATGCCTGGCTCTCCCTTCTATCCTTTACACCTTTAGCTATGCGACTACTAGGCCACAGAGAAGGCACCGAAAAAGAGAAAGATGAGCTACAGCAGCTAAATGATTCGAGAGACAATAAATTAAAGCTCAGCGATCAGGCCAAGACATGTATGCCAAACTCGGCTGATAGCCCCTAGATACCAGTCCCTGTAAATGCTATGCCCAGCACCCAAACGCCTAGAGATGCAAAAAAAGGGTATCAAGTAAACAACTCAGCTGACGATCCGGGCCTTCTTCCTCTTCCCCTTATCACTTGTAGAGCTAGGCGGCGAATTGCTCTTATCGGAAGCCTTACCAGGCGTCTCGACGCGGACCTGTGGCGTCGACGCTCTGACAGGCAGGGTAGAAGGCGTACTAGTCGGCGCCAAATTAGCAGCGGTCTTCAGCGCACCCTTAACAGCCGAGGCGGTAGCCTCGCCGCCAGTCCGTGATAGGATGAACGATCCTGGTTCGCCGACGAGGGGGCTCTCGTCCATGAATTCGTCGCCGTAGCGCGTGAGCAGGCTGAATGATTCGGCTAGACTGCGCGTGTCTTGATATTTGGAGCCTGTAGATGAGCCACCAAGGCCTGATTTACTGGTTGATTGGGAGGATTCGGTGGCTGGGAAGGATACGTCTGGCATGGGTGTTGCTTCTTTGCTCTGGGGGGCTTGGCTGGCTCCGGCGGGCTCTTTGCTGCGGACTCCCGGTGGCAAGTAGGTGTGTCCGTGGGAGGCAGTGAATGTTGGTAATGTCGCAGCGGATTTCATGAGCTGGGTTAGGGATGTGACGGCTGATAGCTGCGGGGAAAGGATTCATTAGAATACTTGTCCCGGAGTGGTTCGTCAATTCCGAGGCAATACATACAATTCGGTTCCCCACAACACTCGCAACCGAAGGGGCCATGTAGATACAGTCGCCGACAATGAAGTATGTAGCTATCACGGTCACCTCGTCGTCCATGCCGCTCCTCTTCCGCCGGTTCTGCTTGCGGATCACCCAGATGTTGGATGGCTCGTGGGCGAAGCGTGTGTCTGTCTGTGCGGCTGCTTGGAGGGGATCATATGACACAATAAACTCCAGACCCTGCATTGTTTTCAGTCGGGCTTCGAACGCTTCGCGCGTCTCGACGAAATGACGGAAGGCATCGTTGTAGTTGGCTTGGATGGCGAGCGAGGCGTTGTTGGAGGTCGCATCAAAGAAAGGGGATTCGGCAAAGTAGAACAGAACTAATTGACGAGAAGATTAATCTCAAGTCCAGGTGTGGTAAGGTGTGCAACCCACTGTTGTTGGAATGAAGGAATCCCCCCATCATCTGGACGTGCGGGGGAGACCGCCAGAGGATCTCCTCCATTGAGGCATCTTGGTTCGCCATTTGCGACTCTGGAATGATAGACCGGAATCGACTCGGTCTATCAAAGCTCGCGACAAGCTTTATTTTTGAAAATGACGCAGGAGGTTTAAGGAAAAGACGCAGCTCGGAAGTTGAAGCTGCGGAGAAAATTATGTTTGCTTTGTTTGCATGTTGACAGTATATGATGGCGACGGGGGAGAAAGAGCTGAATATACGGACTTCTAATTTCTACAGTTAAATGGACTATATACACATATATAGGTACTGATACAATAGCCAAAGGCAAATCGAAACGCCAACGCCAACGCCAACGCTGAATGTTGAATCGAATCACTATCCCATCGCATGGATCCGGGTGTTGAAAGCAGGGGAAAGCGTGGATCAAAATGCGATCAAGTATAAGTCATGATGACCAATAAAGAAAGCTGCGCCGAGTAGTTAAGAAGTCGTAGCTGATTTCTCGTCCGCATCAAGCGGCGTGAAGACGTTGCAAACTACACGCAGTTTGGTCAACATCTCATCCCATTCGCCCTCCGCTATGCTGAGTGCGGTAATGGCACCCCCGGCGCCGATTCGCCATGTCTGCTGCTTATTCTCGGTGTAATATCGACCACCAGAACAAGTGAATGCCGAGCGAATCAGAACCGAGAAGCTTCCACCTCCGCCAAGGTCCAGGAAACCCATCACACCGGAGTAAATGCCACGCTTGCGATTCTCAATCGTGCGAAGATGCATGCAAGAGCGTTCCTTAGGCGCACCAGTCATAGATCCCGGTGGGAGGCACCGCTGGAGGGTGGTCAGGCCGTGGACGGACATGTTGGGGGTATTCAGCTGAGAAATATGTCGCACGGCGAAACCAGGATGGTTGGGCCGGATCTTGCCCTTAATGTGCGTGATCATTGAGTAGACTCGGCCGTAATCTGCGACTTCGAGCAGCTTCTCAACATGGACGCCACCGGATCCGCAGATGCCGTACAGATCGTGCCGGATCAAATCCGCGATCATCAAATTCTCGGCCATCTCTTTCGTGGAGCCGAGGATCTCACAGGCCTTCTCCATGGTCATATCTGGTGATTTTCGGACTGTGCCTTTCATTGGCTTCATCTCCAGTGTGGATTCACGGTCCCAATTGAGGAAACACTCGGGACTGCTGCTGGCGATCTTTGTATCTCCTAGATCTGCGAAAGCGCTGAAAGCAGCGGGATTGTATGTTTTGAGCCGTTTGTATAGCTTCCAGGGGAACATCAAACGATCCGACTCTGATTCTGGAACTGGCAATGTGATTGTCGTCTCAGAGGTTAGACATAGTTCATAAGATTCACCAGCTTCCAGCTCCGCTTTGCATGCCTCGATTTGCCGTTTGTACTCCTTTTCTTCGGGTAACTGAATTTTGCTTTCCCGGAGAATTGAGTCCAAGCCCCGATCCGCAGATGTATCATTGCCACTGCCCGAGAAGTTTTGCAGCTGCTGCAGTGTCTCATCAAGCCAACCCGCATCAGCATCGCGAGTGGATTGAATAACAACGGCGCCGGTAGTATTGTCAACCACGACACTTCTTTCACACCACAGAAGGCTGACATCGGGTGGATCCGCAAAGGAAGGATCGGATTTCCCGGTGCTGGAGTGCTTTGGTGACTCAGAAGCCTGCGCATGGCCTGTGTGAGGAAGACAAGTGAGACCAAGTTCGTAGGAGAGATAACCCAGGAAGCCACCCCAGAATGGCACATCAGAGTTCCCTGAATCAACTTTCTTCATTTCCATCAAATACCGTAAGGCATCCCACAACTGAGCGACTGTAAG